TGTATGGTTTCACTGAAAAATGAGTCATACCATTTTGGAACAGAGCAGCTAATGATAAGTGGACAGAGCTTTTTTTTTTTTTTTTCATTTAACTACAGAAATTACAGCTGACCAGAGCTGGAACAGGTAAAATTGCTGAGGTGTCTTTATGTTTATGAGATATGTGGGATCATTTAATGTCCAAAATGTGCAGATAAAAAAATGATTATTGAGTGATTTCTTTACTTTGTGAAAGTGACAAAGTGCTTGAATGTATGTAATATGCCGCTCATTCAAGTACAACACCATGTCTATGTATATAAAAGTGTTATTTATATATAACATATTCATGTTAAGGTAATTACCACAAGGTGCTAGAGTATATGGGCTCGAGTCAAAAACAGTCTGAACTTACTGCTTTATTTCTTTCTTTCAGAATTATCATTGTAATATTACCTGCAAGCTAAATTTAGAAAGGGGCCTGGCACCTTTATATTACAAAAGCTCATTTGAGTGTACAAATAAATACTTCCCCAGAATCATGAATTTCTTTGTATTATATATTTTGTAATATGAGGACATATGATTTCAGTTAATTAAGTGATTTTCTCACCTTTGCTCCCATAATTATATTGTACAGTGGTACAATTCCTGTGACTATAATTACTGGTGATATTGCCCTCTGAGTTTCATTATAAACCTTATTAATAAGGAGGAACGCTTTGGATGACTTACACAAAGACCAGGCGCAGATCGGCAGGGAAATGTCTCTCATCTCTCCTACAAGTGTGAGATGACTTCTGAGGCAGGTATGTTTTTGCCTCAGAACAAAACCCAGATGTTCAAGCTGAACAAGTCCTGTACACCGTGGATATCATCTGTTAACAGGAACAAAGAATGAATGAAAAAAGATGGGTAGGTATAAATGTGTTAATTTTTTGCAAAAAAAAAGAAAAAAAAGAAAAAGAAACATGAAGATAATATAAAATAACAGTTCTAAATGACATTAAATTCAATATTTTTGTATAGGCTTTTCCAAACCTCCCAACTCTAACATTTTAGAGGAAAAATAATATCTTTAGTTATAATTTTCAGCGTAATGTATTGAGACTTAAATCTAAAAATTTTGGCACTGGGACTGCCCTTCAAACACTCATATCGGTATAACCGTGAGACAGACAAACACACAAACACCTAAACACACACATACACTTGCAGACGTAAGATCTATAGATCCCCAGCTGAGCCTATGAGTTAAATTGGCCTGCAGGTCTGTCTGTACCCCCTGTGAAGAATTTGGTCGTCAAATCATGTAGCATCAATCTCCTGTCAAAACACCAAATGTCTCTCAAATTCATTAGGGAATGGACGCAGGAAAAATGACTGAAAGCGGTAAATACCAAATAAAGCTGGAAGCATCCTCAGACATATTCGACACAACAACAAATACTCCATGTGTCTCGTAGAGCTTCTGTAATAGCTGGGTAATTCTCAGGAGCAGTGAGGCAGAGTGCTTGACAACATCATCTACAGTGACAGGCAGATTGTGTTTTCACGTGAGCAGGATCGACAACAGATTGCACTGAGCCCGGGCTGTTCCTGTTTGCCCTGGAAATGTGTTTGTGTTTATCTTTTGCTTGAGAGAGGCATTCCTTTCTTTCTCCCTCCGTTACAAAAAAAAAACCCACACATTTTCAGACGAGCTTTTCTGCATGTGAGTGTGTGTGTGTGTGTGTGACACATGCTGTGAAGTGACTGCCAGGAGAGGCTTAAGAAACAATCCAAGCAAGATCAATATCAGCAAACCGCACTTATGTGTTTGACTTAACATCCAGTCGCAGTTTCCCCTCTTCTCTTTTAATGCACAGTTGATGCCAAACCTCACGAAATTGCATTTACCCAAAAGCCTAAAGTGTGTGTATACACGCTGTGACATATTTGAAATTACATAATTGTTTTGGCAAACTGTTGATTTTTCTCCATCAGGCTTTGATGACACTGTCAACCCACACTTGAACACACACAAACACGCACACACTCAAACCCCTCAAAACATAAGCTAGGGACAGTGGCTAATGAGTTAGACTGGGAAAGTTTCACATGGCAACAAACTAATAAGCTAGTTTGTTTTAATTAAGGAGTTAATACTTTGGCTCGAGATAACACAAACCGCAACCAACAATGTCTAACCTACAACACACTCATCTTGTTTGCACGCACACATTGTATATCTCCAAATTAGCCGTGACACCCTCCGAATGACACAATACAAATGTAATTGTAATTTGGCTACAATGCTTTCAGCTGTTCCACCATATTTACATTTAGCCGTAGACCCACACTCAGTAGTCACAATAGCAAAATATGCAGTAGGTCTTCCCTACTTTGCATTAAATGTGTGAGCATAGGATGAAGCTGTTAGTGCGCCTTCACTATAAGTTCATCCCTGTAGACAAGTCAGACAGTCATTTATGAATATGCATGAGCCAGTGTTTGCCTCGTTTAATGATTTTTCACCATTCAAATGTATTCAATCCACCTCCCCCCATTTATTTCTCTGTATTTCATATGGTCATTAAACACACACACACACACACACACACACACATATGGATCCTGCACACTACAGTATGTGCAAGGTGTGCGCACATACATGAAAACAATTACCATTTCATTGGCGGGTTCACTCTCTCCTCTCCTCCTCACACTTTCCTGTGTTACTTCTCCTCACAGGTGCCAACCAAAGACAACCTCAAGCATTGTGAACACTGAAAGGACCTCTCTCCGATGAATCGCTGATAGGCAGCGAAGAAAGCTACGAGACTGAGGGGCACGCACGAAGGCAGACAAAAGAACCCTAAATGTGGTATGTACTATTACGCAAGCACCCATAGGTGCCAATACATCAGTGACAGATTCAAGACAGTTGCCAGTAGCACACGCCAAGAGGTCTGAAAGGAGGAAATCGTGTCTGTTAAGGGTGTCATATCTGTATGTTCCATACACTCTGATATGTGATGCCATTGATGTCTGCCATGTTGCATTTATGAACCCACTGTGTCTAACAGACTACACTCTATTGATTATTATGGAGGTCTGGGGGCCAGAGGAAATGCTATTAAAGATTAAAGGGTCAGGTGATGTGAAGGTGGTATCCCGAGTCACCAGACACCAGCGGCTTCAGTTACAGCCTGTAATGTTCACCCGTCAAGCAGATTAGCCAGCTTGATTTATTTATTAACTGATTGCATGTCCCGCCATTTCCTACCCCAACTGACTGACTGGGTGGCTGGCTGCATCCATGGCTTAGGCTTCACAGGTGAACTTCAAGGGAATGGAGCGATTAAGGGTGCTGCTTGGTGTCCACTTACGCTTCATGCAGTCTGTAGTGACAGGCATGTACTTTAAAAGTTAAGGAAAGCTTTGAGGGAAACTCTTTGCTGTTTGTTTGCAGTTAAACAAAAAAAAGTGGTGTTGGACTAATATATATTGTCAGATTAAAACTCAACAAAACTGTTTTTACCATGGAAAGAAAAAAAAATAAATAAAGGGGAGGACAACACTGTCCTTTTATTTTTTATTTTGGAAATTGTAAGGACGACTTCTGACACCCATATTAATCAAAAGCTAGGATTGTATATTTTCTTTATATGAAGATTTATGGAAACTCAAGAGTGAGACCTGGTGATATTTGAGTACAACAGGCTTCATTCAAGACAGCCATTAAACATCTTTAAAATGATACGGCCCCCATATAATGTGAGTATAATAGAACTGTGGTATTACAAGGCCTATCAGGGATACATCTCGGCACAAAAAGCCATTTCGCTGCCTGTCTGTGTCTTATCTGAAGTGGCAAACTTGCTGTTCTAATTGTTATCTTCACACTAATAGAGTGGATGTTTTGAAATCATTTGGTTGGATGGATAGAGGCTTGGTAATTCCCCCATGCTTACTGTCTGTGTCAGGGCTTATCTGTGGGAGATAGCTGGGTCCTGGAGAATGATTGGCAGCGTGCAGGAGGTGGAAAGTTTGTAGTGACTCAAAAAGGGAGGCAGCATTCATGCTGCACAGACATGGAAGAAATTAACTGAAAATTGAATGTTGGTATTGTTTTTCGGATTATATTTATGAGTTGATCCTACTTTTTAACTGTTATCACATTGCAAGAAAAATTTAGGGTAGTATAGTAATGAGTCTTAAAGTCATTTCCTTAAAATAACAGTGGGTTGAGATTATTCATGTCTTTGCAGCAAGCTGTTTCATGTTGTTTCTACCATGACATTTTATTGAGTGGGGAGGTATTCAGTGTTTCTGAAAACATCCTGAAACATGTGAAATAAGCAGGTTTTTTAAAGTTTTTGGGGGTAAGACTTGCCATTTGATGTTACATGCATGAAGCAGCAGGCGAAAACTGCATCTGCCAGAGCAAAAACATCAACTTTTGGCGGTACGGATTTAGCTGTCTAAAGTCGGCTGCAGACGCTTAACGTGCTCTCAGTTGCTCCATTAGTTAAAGCACACATTCCCCATCATCTTCCTCTAGTGGTCCTCTCTGAGCAGTTAATTGTGCGTCCACTCTATCGGGGCCGGCGCGATAATAACGCATTAAGAGCCGTGCCTCTTTCATTAAAGTAGAGTTGGGAAATGTGAGACCGCCCCCTTTCAGGAGTCAAAAAAAAAAAAAAAAAAAGGAGAGGGAGAGAGAGGAAATCGATTATTTCGCCTCGTACTAAGACTGGAGCGGGTTTAGGGAAAGACTCGGTCAGGATTGTGGGAAGGAACAGAAACAGCCTCTCAACATCACCGACAACCTCCAGACGTCCAGCAGTACACCAGCAGCAACACCGCTACACCGCTCCACCGGGTCCCTCTCCGCTCACCGGCACCTCGCAGAGACCAGGCGAAGCGTCCTCGCCGCCTCCTGAGCAGACACTGTCCGATCAGAGAGAGAGAGGGAGGGTGAGAGAGAGAGAGAGAGAGAGAGAGAGATAGAGTGAGAGAGAAACCGAGAGAGAGAGAGTGAGGGAGAGAGAGAGAGAGAGAGAGTAGTTTTCTCTGACATTATAGAGACTCCTACCACCTACTGTAGGTTACTTTTTTTCCTCCCGGCGACGTCCTCTGCTAAGTTGCGCTCCTGGATTTTAAGTGCGTCTTGGCGAAGTCCGTCCCCATCAAGCAGCGGCTTCAACCTTCCTGTCAATCGGCCGGACCAGACAGCCGGCGGACCGCTTGTTGTATCTTTCACTTCACCCGGACAAGATTTCATGCGAAATAAAGTAAGTAAAGCGTTCACACCACTTGCCACTCACTCGTAAACATCCACAAGACACGTTGCATCATATGATCTTCATTTTAATCTTCCAGAAGGAAACTTGGGTGCTCTATTTTGATGCGCGCTGCCTCCTTCTACAAAGTAAAGTAACTGCGTCTATTGATTTGTTGTGACCCTGATCGACTTATGGCGGTGACAACTATGTCATATAATTACAGGCTGACATCAAATATCTGTTTATGGTCTATTAGGAGTGTAAAGGTCTGTCTCGTGTTTTTAGGCAGTGTGACTTGTGTCGACCTTGTGTAGCTTTCTCGTGTCCACATGCAGGCGCACAGCCCCAAAGCCACAGCTACTGAATAAGCTGTCCTCCTCAATATAACATGATATAGCATGTTCTACTCTTCTGCGCTATGGGATAGCACATGAAAAGTTACACTGATAGTTTAAATTGTAGAGTTTAACCTGCCTGGCGCATAAATTTAAACCAAATAATATAACAAGAAACTTAAAAAAAAAAAAAAAAAACTCAGTGAAAGACAACCGGGAAAAATTACATGTGGTTCAGAAGTTTTCATATTTCAGATCATTTGCTGCTTTAAAGCAACAGAATGGAGGGAAGCTCACCAATCATAAGATGGCCTTTGTGGATATATTGTACTGTAATTCTTCACCAGTAGTTTAAAACTGAGGTGCACTGATCACAATTGTGTTGATACACATTAAATCTGGATTACCTGCACCCAATCAACTTTCATGAATATATTAGAAAATAATGAACGATGTAAACAATAATTTCCAAACTAGAATACAGGAGAACACAGTCTGTCAGACATATTTGAACGTTGATTCGTGCAGACCACAGGCACAGTGATAACAATGCTGTAAATCAGTGTTTTTCAGAAGGTTAAAGCTGAATTATAATTTCTTCTCTGTGACTTTGAGACTGGGATTGTTTAGGCTTAATTTCACCAGAGTGAGAATAATATATTCATACAGTGAGTTTAGCTCAGTCTCATGTGGCACAACTGAACCTGTTGCAGTCAGAGGATTAATAATGACACCCATAATTAACCTGTGGCAACTTTCACAGGTTGCAGCTTTTGAATTAAAAGTAGATGTATTTGTTTTTCAAGCATGGATATAAGGCCCACTGATGAAATGTAAAGATGCACTATAAGGATGGGAGTAAAATTTAAAATGACTACAGCATACTTAATTTTAATTTAGACCGATTGTGGTGCTGGGTAGGTTGTGTGCATGTAAGTCATGCTCATTAACGGAAGCCAAAAAGTAAATCTCTATCCCCAATTTCATGTTAATTTGCTCTTAAGCAATTAATGAACAGCAGTTTTATCTCTGTAATAAATACTGTCCATTTTAAAAGTTAAAAAAATGCCATTAATGTAGAGATAGCTCCATTTTCTGAAACTTAATAAAACTAGTGTAATATTAAAAGCATATTTAGAGATGTATCAGAACTATTAAATTTGAATTATGATTTATTAGTTAAATATTTTGAAGGCACTCTGGAAAAGTACAGTTTTTAAGTGATAAAATGTTGCTGTCTACTCCAGCATATTGACCTAATTTGTGACTCTGTGAAGAGCGTACTGCATACACTAAGTCATTTACTGCTTGATTGCATTTTATAGTTAAAAAAAAAAACAGCCTTTATAAAGTATATGCAACATCTAAGATAATTTTTTTTCATTTTAAGATGGTGTAGTGCCCTGTGCATTCTCCCATTACTTTTTACATCAATTTATGCTGCTTTATATGAGTTGTTTACTTATGAAAAAAATATATAAAAGTATATTAGTCTATAAAAAGATTTTACACATGGCCTCCCCTCTTGTGCCCATCGTCAATGAAGTTGTTCTGTGTGGCCTGTCTGGCCTGTTGCTCTCTTGGGATTTAGCGTTAGGTTAATCCGCTCAGAGGAAGGTGAGCGCTCGCATGTGGACCCACGATTACACACAGAGGACTCTGTCAGCCAAGCTCTGTAATCTCAGAGACCCTGTACAAACACACACACACACACACACACACACACACACACACACACACGCACACACACTCATGCATGCACGTATGCAGTCGCACGCAAACACACACAAATGCATACAGACAAAAGCATGGTCTGTCTCTTTCTCTGTCTCTCTCTCTCTGTCTTCATGTCAGGCACACACAGTTTCACACACAAGCACACACCGACACCCACACTATCTGGCCTGCGCTGCCTTTGTTTCTCTTATTCTCTTAAGACCTCTCCCTCTTGACAAATCATTTGGGATTTTGGGTGCTGATTCACAAAACCAACAGTGACAACACACTCTTACCCTTCTCACAGAGAGGGATTAGAAGGTCACGTGTCCCTGTGATTGGCCAGAGCATTGAGCCGATTGTCAGGGCACTTTGCTGTACACCAGGGGCTCAGTAAAGCTTTAGTTAAGTGAAGGAAAGGGACACATTGTGTGCCATGGTCAGAATTTTGCCATGTGTTTTAAAAACACTTAGTCAAAATCAACATATGACGGACTGTTACTAGTCTGATACTGTCACTATCTTTAATCATAAATGTCTAATATAATGGCCATAAATGTGTGAATACTTAGTTTTACTGGCAGGCCGAGATAAGCCTGACCAGACAGAGAGTTTGCATTTGAGTGCTGTAAAATTTGTGCCATCTTTGAAAAAAGAAGGGGTAAAAGTATACCTCTGTCCTGCCTCATAGCATAAACATTTTGTACTGTACAGAAGGCACATTTCAAGATTCTCTCCTTATGGAAACCCAGATCTATGAAAACATTATTCTTAATGGAAACATCAGAAGCATTTATGTTTAAGCAAATAATTTAATAGCCCCTTTTGCTATGCTTTAAAGTTTTTTTTTTCACTAATGGTTTCAAATATTTTGGAAGGGGTTTGCAAAGTTTGCTCAGTTAAACATCAGTAAAACACTCATTTGCAGATTGCAGGTTGGCAAGATCTGGAGGTAGATATTGAAGAACTGTAATTGGACTTCATGCCCTTTGGGTCAGACAAGAAGGTAATATAAGAGTCAATTGTAGAGAATCATATTTACCTCATATATAAGAAGCACATAATATCTTTAACTGTCAAGAGACATCCCTGTATATCCTGGAGATAATACAGTACATTTTGGGTTTTGCTGCTTTCATATAAATGTTAGACAGCACCCCTTAAAATCCAGATGTGAAAGACTAAAGATAAGCTCTCTTTGTTAGTAAATTTATCTGACACAAATAATGTGGAACTGTTCAGACTTTTGGTTAGAATAACTTTTTTTTTTTCTTGCCTGTTTATAAGCAGATGAAAATACTTAAGTTTTATAATAACTCAAGGGCTTGTTGTATTCTTGTTTATTGCACAAGGCAGGTGTTCCCTCTTTTGCAACATGGGAGGAAAAGTCTCCTTTTTTCGTTTTTATACATTTTTATAGCGCCAATGAAAAGCATCGGGCTCAACCTCACCATGTGTTTATTTACTCATTTTGAACAGATCTCCCTTTCATTGTCCTAACTGTTGTGCATGTTAGAAATGTTTACCCAAACGTTTCTTTGCCTTAGGAGCACTGTCTGTGTATCTTCATAAGAGCTGCAATTACTCATAAAACTTGAAAAATAATAATCTAAAGTAAATAACACAGTCCTTGAATGGTTTATGGTGGATTGAATGCATATATTTGAATATGTCCTGGTTTATGCATAATGATGCAAAGTCTTCTTCTGTCTCTATCTAGTAATTAGCGGTGACGTTCAGCAACTTTCTCTGTATGCTGTAAGTGGATGGGGGTGTATGGGGTTTGTTCACTGGGGTGTTAAAGATCACAGAGGAATATATCAGCCTTTGATGTTTAATTGTATTGTAAAACACACTTTAGAATATTTCTGCATAAAGTAGACTTCTGGCTGTGCTGTGCTTTGTGTTTGCTGTTTCTTTGTGTGTTTGTCTGTCAGTATGTGCCGTGTGTCTGGGAGGTGTGTGTGTGTGTGCGTGTGCGTGTGTGTGCGTGTGTGTGTGCGTGTGTGTGTGCGTGTGCGTGCGTTCAAGTTTGTGTCTTGTCTCCGTCTGTTTGTGCGTCAGAATGTTTGTGCTTTTGTGTTTTTTTTTTTTTGTCTTGAGTTTTGTGAGGTTGTTGCTGGTGTATATTCAAATGAAAATGCGTGTATTTCTTCTTCTCCTTTATTCTCGCACTGAGGAGGGTAGGATTTGATGTCTGGGATGATGGAGCAGTCTGGAAAACAGTGTCAGTGTGAGGGCTGAAAAGGCAAACTGAGAAGACAGATGCACAGAGAGACAGAGAAAAACACACACAGAGAGAAAACGTAGATAGAAATCTATTTGAGCTGAGGTGAGTTAAGAGCAGAGCGGCAGAATATTTGGCCTCAGATCAGGTATTCTTCATTAAAGAGTAATGCCTTTGTGATGTCATGTTTAACACACTGATCTGGATGAACAGGATGTCCTGCCTTCTTCTTCCTGTTTCCCGTTTCCTGCTTGGCCTGTTGGTCATTATGGCAGCAGCTGCCTGCTGGGTGGTCTGTGCTCAGCAGTGCTGGCCACAAAATCATAGTGTCAGCTGCAGCCCACCTAAAGAGACACCCAAAACACCTCACCATACTTGAGGCCTGCTCCCTGAAATATTTGGACAGAGAGTGAGTCCTGGGAGGCAAGAAGACTGGAGGAGTGCAGGGAGCAGAGGATTGTGAGTGATAAGACAAAAGAGAAACATTTAGACTAGAAGAGAGTTTGCATTTCTTTGTCTAAACATTGGATGGTTCAGATCAGGCTGAATGTCTCAGCATCAGCATCAAGACTTGGTGTTTCATGTTAAAATGAGACTTAAATGAGAACTAACGTGTTTATAGATGAGTTTCCCGGCCAGATACTCGCTTTAGTTGCTCTCGTGTGAGATTTAAAAAAAATTTTATTCAGCATCAGTGTAGCAGAATCCGCAGAGCCTACCTAGTCAACCTG